GGAGAGGGAGAAGCAGACTCCCTACTGAGCAGGGAGTCCAATGCAGGGCTTGATCCCAGGACCCCAAGATCATGACCTGAGCCAAAGGCAGACGTTCAACTGACTGAGCCACCCAGGCGTCCCTGCATGTTTTTAAAACTGAATTAGTCCAACATATTGGGAGATACTGTACAAATGGAATAATTCTTACCTATTACTATACCTGATGAGACATCTCACCAACCCCTAATACCATCATTCACCCCCAAACTCTACCCTGGACATATACACATAAATCTCAAATATTCCTTTCATTTAATGATCAGGATGTTACCACTCAAGAATTATACCAAGAATGAACAAGAATTCATGTTTTAAAACATGTTTTCGCTACTTCAACCTTCTCCACAAGTATTTGTTCTCTCTTTAAAATCAAATAGATATTATTTCAAGACCATTTTTCCACCAAATTAGCATGAAACTTACTGAGAAGCTTGACTGATCATGTCCTCTTTTCAAATCCCAAACAAAGCCCAATGTTCCCTATACCAAGGGATGCCTTTATTAGTATGCACCCAGGCTTTCATTGTTCCTCCCAGGAAAACCTATTACCAATCTAAGATTATTTTAAATCAAGATGCGGTCATAATTTTTAAAATGTTCTTTATACATCTAACATTAAAGATACATCAAAGATTTTGAAATCAAAATCTGAAATGTTATTTTTGTCAGATGGGTATTAAGGCCTAAGAGGCTGTTGAGACCATACAATGGTTCTAAGCTCTAATACTATTGTTATTAATAATTCTCTGTGGCATCCCAGGAAAAAAAAGTTCTAATCTTGCAAAGGTCTGGAATATAACCTAAATTCCATCAGTGACTACTTCCTAAATAACGTGTATAATAAAATGAGTTCCAAATGCCAGTTAGGCATAGTGGTGACAAAGAGCAGGCCATATATGCAGAGCCTGAGTGTCTTTAACTTGTTAATTAAATGTGTGAAAGCAAAAACTGCATCAACCTGCATATAAGAAACTTTTATCAAACAGTAAGGTTTACTATATGTACATAAACATTAGGGAAAATAAAAATGTTGTCAAACACCTAGGAAGAATCATAAGCCCTCTTGATTCTAAACAATGTTTCCTTCTGTCATCACAGAAATACTTCATAAAATATGCTGCTTAAGACCCTATTTCATAATTTAATCATTTTTACTCTTAAGATATACTCTAAAGAACTAATTTTTTCCTTTTTCTTTATCTCCTTCAATCCTATATCACACTGCTTTCATGGCGATGTTAGTATATGGCACTAGATTATATCAGAATGCTAAATAAAATTGCTTGTTCTTCATTGTCTTCTTCCCATTTTGGTCTCATTTCCATGCCTCCCACATCTTTCATCATTTTCCTATTTCTCTTATAGGTATGTCTAATTTAATTCAAAGTGAATATGAACGTTCTGGATGTAGCAACACTGTTAAAAGTAAACAAGAACTAAAATCAATTACTACTATTCACCCCCAAAACAAGTCAAGAAAGCATGTGAGGGGTTATTTCTTCCTATGGGACTAAGGGGAGCGAAACCACTTGTTCATTCAACTCAAGAGCAGAGGGAAGAGTGGCCAGCGCAAAGATTCACTCACTCGAGGATTACAGCCAGGATCCAATTCTCCACACTGAACACAATCCTGTGTACCACCCATCATCCGCTAGACCTGTGGTTCTCAACAGGGGATGACTTTGCCCAGAGAAAACTTGGCCATGTCCAGGGACTTTTTTGATTGTCATGACTTGGGGGAGGGGATGGGTAGTTACTGGCATCCAGTGGGATGCTGCTGAACATCCTACACAGGCATAGGCCAACACCATACTGAATTATTCAGCCAAAAATGGGAATGAGAAACCCTGACCCAAATCTTTGTGTTCCAATTTTTAATAAAAATGCAGGACAGCAGGACCACAGGCACCATGGTGGTGCAAAAGGACACAGAATTAGGGGAGAAAGGAAACTAAAAATTACTGAATATCTGCTACATAACAAGCCTTGCTTTAGTCACTTTACATGCATCGTCTCCCTTAAACCCTCTCGCGTGAAAAAGTGATCTATTCTCATTTTACAGATGAGAAGGCCGGACTCAGGGTGATTGTATATGCAGAGCTTAAGTGTCTCTAATTCATTAATTAAGGGAGGTTAGGGAACTTATTCAAGGTCACTCAGCTAGGAAGGGGAGGAATAAGGACCCAAATTCAAACCAAATCTATTTATAAGCCTAGAGGTTAAAAGACCTGGATTTTTTTTTTTTTAAAGATTTTATTTATTTATTCGAGAGAGAGAGAATGAGAGAGAGCACATGAGAAGGGGGAGGGTCAGAGGGAGAAGCAGACTCCCTGCCGAGCAGGAAGCCCGATGCGGGACTCGATCCAGGGACTCCAGGATCATGACCTGAGCCGAAGGCAGTCGCTTAACCAACTGAGCCACCCACGCGCCCTAAAAGACCTGGATTTGATTCAAAGTCACCACTATGAATTTAAGCAAGTCCCTTAACTTCCCTAAACCTCCATTTGGAAATAAATCAATGGATAAACTGTGTGAAAATATAAATAGGATTGTATGTTGTTGCCAATCAACATATAATCCTATTAAACATCCTACAGTGAAAAAGTACTTCTTAGAATTGAGGCGTCATGATTATCATTTTTCCTTAAAAAATAGAATTTATACATGTGCACAGTACTAAATTACTCAGCATTTTTAAGAATCAAGATTAAGTGTTCAGAAGACACTGCCTTCTGTAGCCATGCAACTACTCTTAAATCCTAGGAGGAAATAAACTAACGTAAGCAACATTTTAGTATGAACTTCCTAAAGATTTTTAATTGATCAAGCCTAAAGTGCTCAAGACTATCAACAACTTTGGTTGGGCTCTCTCAACAACTGGTAGCCGAGATCATGAGCCAAACTAAGGAAGAAGAGGATGGATTATAAATTCATTACCGCTACTGCAGGGAAACTACTATTATCTCCAAAAAGACAGAGTATTACATTGAGGTCAAGATAGTATCACTCACACTAATGATACAAAATAATAATAACAATAATAATTGATTGCAAAATGAGATTCTGATTTTTTTTTTTGACTCTCGTCAGAATACATGAGTCTTTGACAAACTACTAGTAGGTCCATAAATATAACTTAAACCACATTCTTCTGGGATAAAGTTCAGAAGAAAGAATGTAAACTCCTGTTTGTTTCTTCCAGAGGTCAACAAACATTACCAATGCTGCTTCTAAAGAGGGTTGCACACAACCATTTTTCCCCTTGAAATGCCAGATTCCAAGGCATGGTTTTGCCATATTTTATAATAAATGTATCTTGGCATATGATGTTAATATGTTGTAAGTAAATTATAATACCAAGTATTTCCCACTAACATTGTCCAAGTTTAAAAACAATAAACACATTGGGGCGCCTGGGTGGCTCAGTCGTTAAGCTTCTGCCTTCGGCTCAGGTCATGATCCCAGGGTCCTGGGATCGAGCCCCTCATGGGCAGGAAGCCTGCTTCTCCCTCTCCCACTCCCCCTGCTTGTGTTCCCTCCCTCGCTGTGTCTCTGTCAAAATAAATAAATAAATACAATAAATACAATAAACACATCAAATAAACTAAAAACGATTTGAAATAAAATAATTTCAAGAGAATTATGAAGAATAGATTTAAGTAAATGAAAGTTCTAAAATGTGTTTCCCCGAAACACACACACATTTTAATGTTCTGGGGGAAGTGAAACAATTGATAACTAAAATCTTGAATGTTTTTTATTTTAATCAATTTAGATAAGGATTTGCATTAAATGTCATTTTACTGACTAATGAATTACATCTTTCACCTTAAGCATTTTGACACTTCCATCAACTTTCTAAAAGTGCGGGCGGATTATTTCTCTATGTTTTTAATATACTTGCCTCTCAAAAGACTGAATTATAAAAACTGATAGGAGAAACCTATTATCAATCCCCTCATCATCATCCCTAAATCTCTGAGTAAGCCCTAGCTACATAATAACGTGTAGGTGATAATCTCGAAGAATTTACGTTAGACAATAACCAAACTGAAATCCATTTTATCTGGTTTATCTGACATCCTGTCAACTTTTGACTTGACAAGCCTGTTTTTCCATCACAACAAATTTTAACACGCAGGTAAATAGTAGTTATTTTATAACTTTCAGGAGCTAGAAATCATTATTTCGTCTCCTCCTGTTTCTCCCAATTCTCCTCGGGGCTTTTTATATTTCCAAACCGAAAGAATTTGTTGCCAAATTTTTAAAAATACTATTAGCTGACTACTCATCCTGAAAGGTATAATTTTCCTGGCAGCAGAATTAACTGCCCTTGACGAGATCTCACGTGAACCTTTCAGAGCACCTACCACATCCCAAGTAAATAGCCCTGGCATCTAAGTATGTATACATAGCTTATCATGAAAAGGACCCAACCCACTCCATTTCCCAAACAAGACGCGGGCAGCTCTCCTATGACAGTCTGTACAATTACCAGCACCTTGGGCAGGTCCGCGGCCCTACTGCGGGGCGCAGGCCCGCCCGGACGCTCCCTTCACAACCCGCCTTTGTGACGCTGCCGGCCCCCCACCCCCTGCTCCGACCTCCGTGGGGCCCCGCTAGACCACAGCGCCAGCACCACCACCTCCCCCCCCCCCCGCCCTCCCCAGGCCCGGCTCCTCCCAGGTCTCCTTGGGAGGTGGGCGTTCGCGGGGCGGAAGGGCAGGGCCCAGGGACTGCGAGGGGAAAGGGGGGCCGCGTTGGGGGGGGTCCTCCTGTCGGAGGTGGGGGTCGCGCGGCGGGAGGGCAGGGCCCAGGAATGCGAGGAGAAAAGGGGGCCGCAGGGGGTCCTCCCGTGGGAGGTGGGGGTCGCGGGGCGGAAGGGCCCGGCCCGGGGCTGCGAGTGAAAGGGGGCCGCGGCGAGGGTTCTCCGTGGGGGCGCAGGTCGGCGGCCTCACCCGCAGCTGGGTGCGGCTCTCCCGCATCGTCGGGCGCCAAGGTAACGGCGCCGTCCCTCCAGACGCGGATCTGCGCGGCTGAGCGCACGCGGCGACGGGGCTGGCGGTGGCCCGCGGACGCGGCGCGCAGAGACCAGCAGCACTGGTAGCACACGGCCCACGCCTGCTCCTCGTTGATGGGCTGGTTGTAGAGCCGCAGGATCTCCTCCAGGCTCAGCGCGTCCGGCGGGCCGCCAGACGCCCCGGGGCCCGGAGGCTCCTCGCCGCCCGCTGGCTCCGCCCGGGGCTCCCCGCCGCCTGCCGGGCCCGCCGGGCCCGCCGGGTGAGCCATCCCGCGGGTCGGCGCGACGGCGGAGCGCTGCGCCGTGTGCCGGCGTGTTCTCAGCTCCCGAGCATCGTCTCGGCGCGCCGCCGCCTCCTCATCCCCGGAACCGCCCCGCCCAACGGGGCCGCGCGCGCCGTCGTGTTGAACCAGGCGGGGGACTGGGCGAGGGCCCGGCGGCCGTGGGCGAGCGAAGAGCGGCGAGGACGCCGCGGCAGCCCTGACCAGGCCGCCCGCTGCCGCCAGCCCGTAGCGACGCGATGGCGTCCGCCGGCCCCGCCCCGCGCCCGCGCCGGCCGCGCGCTCAGTGCCGGGGCTGCGGAGCCGCCCCGTCAGGGTCCGCACGACCGGGAGCTCGGGCGTGCGCTTCGCCGCCGAGCTGACGGCGCCGACCGCAGCCATCCCCCGCCGAGCTAGGAGGCCACTGGCCCTGGATGCCCCTGGAATTGGCTCGCTGGGAGTCTAATTAGGAGCTCGAACCCAGCCTGGAGCAAATTCCTAATAAACATCTGTGAAACCGCTCCTGCTCCCGCCCACCGTCGGACAGCCCTCTGGGCACGGGTCCTGCGTCTCGTTGAAGCCTCCACACGGTTTCTCCTGACCCGCCGACTTCGCCCCTGCACCATCCCCCGGACCCTCCTCTGCTCTTTTTGGGGTAGCTTTCGCCATCAATATACCATATAATTTACTTAAACGTATTATTTATTGAATAGGCCCTCCCATCTTCATTGTAAGCCCCGTGAGGACAGGGACTTTTTTATGGGTTTTGCTCACTGACTTCTCCCAAGCGCGTAGATCAGGGCCTGGGATACAAACATGTTGTAAATAATTTGTAGATACTAGTTTCAGCGTCCTTCCGGATTCATTTTGTAACGTTTGTACAACTCCTCACTAAGAACGTCTCCAGTGATCACACTCATCATAGTTCTGTTAACCCAGTAAGTTCAGACGATGTGGAATTAATATCACAGTGCCAACACTGAACTGAGGGCAATAAGCCATAAAATAAAAGAAAGAAATACAGCACTCCCCAGAGCCTCGCTGACTTCATTAAGTTATACAGTATAATTCTTAGGTAAAATAATCACTCATTGGTAAATGAGTTTAATTGGTAACTTTCCACTCTGAGGCTAGTCCTGTGTAAGAACCTGACAGAGCTTAAAGTATCCACCAAGTAAGAAATTTATAACTAACAATTAAACTTGTAAGGCAGTTCTGTGCGTAGTATTAGATCTCACACTCAACAATTGCATCTTGCAGTAAAAATTACAAGGGTCTATTATAAATGCTTAAGATATCACAGTAAGTACAGCAGTAGTGGGGGAGAAGAGAGAAAAGCAAAAGGATGTTTTTAAAAAGAGGAATTGAAAGGGGAGAAAAAAGCTTCTCCCTAGTCACCTTATTATAATTTCACTACAAGAGATACAAAAAACCCCTTAAGTAACATCAATTATAGGTTCATAATCCCATTGTAAAAATGCACTATGTTTGCCAAACCCTTGAGAAGAAAGGTCTAATTCCTTATATGATATAGATAGAATGGATAGATATAGATATATAGATACATAAAACCTCTTAAAGAAAAACTGGGAAAAGATACCCAAAATTTGGTATCTTAAAAGTTTAGATTCTGTGTGGATTTTGAAAATACATAGGGCTTTAAAACAGTTTGAACAATGCAGAAAAACAGCTAAATGTCTACTCTTATGGACAACACCACCATCTCCTGGCCTTATGGGATATTGCTGTTGCATTGCACTGTGACAGCTACAACAAAAATCAATTACATTTTATCCTTTACTCCCCCTACAAAACACAAGTTAAATTAATTAATCAACTAATGAATCAATGAGCCAGTCCCTTGTTACTCCTGGTACAGGGCAATAAATAAATCTCCAAGTAAAGATAACAGTGAAGGGAAGAAGGAAGGGAGTGGAGGTGAAGAAAAAGAAAAATCAAATTTTACCTGAAAAAAAAAATTTTTTTTTAAAGATTTTATTTATTTATTTGACAGAGAGAGACACAGTGAGAGAGGGAACACAAGGAGGGGAGAGTGAGAGAAGGAGAAGCAGGCTCCCTGCAGAGCAGGGAACCCGATGCGGGACTTGATCCCAGGACCCTGGGATCATGACCTGAGCTGAAGGCAGTCGCTTAACCAACTGAGCCACCCAGGCGCCCTGAAAAAAAAAAATTTTTTTAAGATTTTATTTATTTGACAGAGAGACACAGCGAGAGAGGGAACACAAGCAGGGGGAATGGGAGAGGGAGAAGCAGGCCTCCCGCCGAGCAGGGAGCCCGATGAGGGGCTCGATCCCAGGACCCTGGGATCATGATCTGAGCCGAAGGCAGACGCCTAACGACTGAGCCACCCAGGCACCCCAAAATGTTATTGTTTTTAAAAGATGCATTCTTTAACACAAATTCACAACAGAAAGATTTTTTCCTTTCCTAAGTGATAGTTTTTAAACATGTATTTGGGGAAGAAAAACATTATGGCATTGAGCCACAGGAAGGTTATATAAAATAGGGCTTTTTTCCCCAGATACTACACTCATGACTGATATACTGTATTTAAAGTAAATTTCTTGCCTTTGAGAGCTTATGTGGAATGAAATTGAGGCAAGATGACAAGCAGAATGTTGTTTGATATATGCAGAAAAAGTAAAAGATAAATCTATTTATTATATAACCTGAACACTTGATGCATTTTTGTACAGACAGTATAATTTTTATATGATTTTCAGAACCCTTTGAAATTTTGATTAGCCCCATGTCCGTCATCATAAGACTCTGAGAAAGTGACTGCTGACAACTCAAGACTATCAGAGGTCCAGATATTCTCAGGACTCAAGCAGGACTGTGGAATAACTTGGAATAACCTTCCCATTTTCTCATTTTCAATTCAAATTCAAAGCTTCGAATACCTTCTTATACAGTATATTTTGTTCCAATTTCTGTCATTGATTTTATTTTTTTATTCTTGGCTTCACCACTTTAAAAAAATTGCTCTATATATTTAAAGTGTCTGATAATTCAAATCAACATGTAAATGTCTTTTTCAAAGTGCTGTTAAGATCTGTGAAAAATAGTGGCAGGTGTTACTCTGAATATGATTTTAGTTTTCATTGATTTTGTTGTTGCATTTATTAAAAATGGAATCCTTGAAATTTTTTATTTTATATTTACTTATCATTTTGCAGAATAAATGTACTTCATGCTTCATACTCTGGACGTGCTGGCTGAGCTGCTCTGAGTCTTTCAGGGAGCAAGGCCTTCAGGGAGCACAGTCTGCCTGTGCAGCCCAAGCTTAATCCAGTCACTCCCAGACAATTGCTCCTAAGAGGCACATTCACCTAGAAAAGTGCACCAAAAAGGAAAAAATAGAACAGCATATTTTTTTCAGTGGCATAACCTAAATTTTCATTGCCCACAATTATAATACTTTATATAAAGTGATAATTTTATACTTTCAAAGTGCTTTCTTCAGTTATACAACTTGAAGGTCAGATATTACTATCCCTATCTTACAAATGACAAAATATAGGACTAGTAAATGAAAGAGGTGGGACTGGAATCCAGGCCTCCTGACCAGCTCAGCTCTCTCGGCTACTTCTATCTCTCTACATTTGCACAGAGCAAGAAAAAAGTCCTCATACTTCATTCCTCACTCCAGCAAGCAAGAGTAGTACATAAAAAGCAGATGCTTTAAATTTGTACATACCACTACGATCAACCAAACTTTTGATATTTTAAATACCTTGTGTGAATGATGCGACGCCCATCTCCCTCCATTGGTCCTTGTGAGTTCACTGGCATTGGGTTTCACCATAGTGGTGATCTCCCCATAGTAATTATCTTCAAAGTGATCTATAATAACTCCATCCCCATAAAGAATTGCAAATTATCACTCCCCTAAGAAGGCTAATTCCATCAACAATCTTAAATGCAGTCTGAAACTCATCTCTTGTAATTTCAATAATCAAACTAAATATTAACCCCAAATCTTTAAAATGAGTCATGAAAATTAGCATGTGACCTCATACATAGAATCAGAAGTACAAAGACCAGGTAAGAACACAACAAAATTGGATTCCTCTGGTCTATAAATTTGCAAAAGAATTAACTTTTCTATCCAAAGGTGAAGATATTGAGAAACATTTAGAAAATACCCATGAATGCCCTTTTACTAAGTGGTACCCTAAACCAGTGTTTTCCACAACATATTCATTCTGTAGCATCTAACATATTCAAAATTTACCTATCCTACCTTGATGAGATTAAGTTACATACCCACTGATAAAAACTGAGAAAGAGTAGAGGAACAAGGCAAAATAGCTGAACAGTAGCGTATCAGTATGTTCATGAAGGATTTTGGAAAATACTAGGTCAAACAATAGTCATGTTTCACTTTATTAATGTGATTCACCTTTGAGCAATTATTTTTAAATCAACAAGGAGAGACAGTCTTCTGATTCTGAATGTAAGTGGAATTATTAGCTTCAATTAGTAAAGAAGATTTGATTTGGAAAAGACCTCATAGATCTAAATTTGAGGCCAAGCCACTATTTTACACTTATAAAAATTTGAGTCTGCAAGGTTAAGTGACTTACCCCAAATTACTGACAGTTGCCAAAAGTACTTCAAATATACTTCCTTTATTTATTTATTTATTTTTAAAGATTTCATTTATTCATTTGACAGAGAGAGAGACAGCTAGAGAGGGAACACAAGCAGGGGGAGTGGGAGAGGGAGAAGCAGGTTTCCCGCTGAGCAGGGAGCCCGATGCGGGGCTCGATCCCAGGATCCTGGGATCATGACCCGAGCCGAAGGCAGACGCTTAACGACTGAGCCACCCAGGCGCCCCCAAATATACTTCCTTTAACATAAGCTTTCCAGATCCTGTTTTTTAGCCATATTACCTACTTCTCATGAAATTTCAAGTTAGGATAAGCAGTAGCTTATTTCTTAATTCTAATGGAAAATAGAAAACAATACAAGGCACGAAAATATCTTTATTTGATAGCAAAATTTTGATGTTTGACAATAATTGCTTGAAAATGTAGAATTCTCAATAAAACATTTAAGACACCAGAATTTTAGGTTGTATAAGTTAAAGAGAATGCATTTTCAGACTGAAGTCATACTTTGTTGATGAGACAAAGCTAAAATATTTTTCAAACCTCCATATTTAATTTTTGCTCTACTTTATACAAAAAAAGATGGCCCTTTCTTGTTGTTCAAAAGATTGTCATTTTTACCTA